AGTCGTAACACAGTTATTATACTTATTATCTTATTACTTCATTATTTTTTTTATTATTTTTTATTTCTTTTATATTGTGTTTTTCTAACTTCCTAAGCCACCTTGAGTCGCCCTGTGTGAGTAGGCAGCAATATAAATTTTCTAAATAAATAAATAAATAACTGAACCCCAGTGGTGGGTTTTAAATTTTTAACAACCAGTTCTGTGGGAGTGGCTTAGGTGATGCGTAGTTTGGTGGTCATGTGACTGGGTGAACGTGGCTTGGTGATCATGTTATTGGCTGGGAGTGGCCAACTCAATATCACTCACATCTAGGCACGCATCTCCTCACCTGGCCTTTCATGACTGTAGGGATGCTGCAACAGTCATAAGTGTGAAAAATGGTCATAAGTCACTTTTTTCAGTGCCATTGTAACTTTGAATGGTCACTCCACACAAGCAAAGTACCAGCAAAGGAGGGGGAAAAAACTCCAGAGACGTTCCTGAGACAGGAAGTTTAATCCTGCCAAGAATGTAATAAGGGTTAACGGAGAGGCATTTTCTGTAAGCAACACCAGAATGTTTCCTTCCTGCCTTCCTTACAGGATTAGGCCAGTAATTTCTTCTAACAACCAGTTCTCCAAACTGCTTAGAACGTTAACAACCGGTTCTAGCGAATAGGTGCGAACTGGTAGAATCTCACCCCTGAGTGTAATATTACCAGAGAAAAAGCTGCATAAGATTAGGTTAAAAACTCTTAATGCCTTTTTGGCTACGTAGTTACAGTGGACTCTAGTACTTAGGTCATTTGAGATGAGTACTCCAAGATCCTTGACAGAGTTTGGATCATCAACAAGGTCTTGACTATTTAGCCTGTATTTTATTTTCTGATTTTTTTGTCAATATGTAGGACAGAGCATTTATTTGTTGAGATTTGAAGTTGCCATTTGTTTGACCATTCTGATACATAGTCGAGGTCTTTTTGAAGGGTAGCAGTATTCTCTGTGGTGTTGAATAGCTTTACATCATCAGCGAAGAGAACGCAGTTGTTTTTAATATGATCACAGAGGTCATGTATGTAGAGTAAGAAGAGAGTTGGTCCTAAAACACTGCCTCGGGGGACACCACTGTTGACAGGTACAGAATTTGATAGGACGCTCCCAATTTTGATCTTTTGTTGTCTGTTTGACAGGAATGCTTCTATCCAGTTATGTAGGTGTCCAGAGATACCGTAAGATTTTAGTTTTAGTAGTAGTTTGTCATGTACCACTGAATCAAAGGCTTTACAGAAGTCTATGTAGATTGCGTCTATTGCTTTGCCCTGATCGAGTTGTGTAGTCCATATGTTTTTGCAATGTAAGAGTTGCAGATTGCAGGATAGCTTTTTCCTAAAACAATTCCTAAAATTGTTTATTAGAGAGTAGGTTGTTTGTTTCTAAGTGGAGGATGATGGATTGGTTAATAATTGATTCCATGACTTTACAGGTGACACAGCATAAAGAGATTGGTCAGTAATTTTCAACTAGACTTTTTGAAGACGGGGATGACCGTGACTTTTGAAGATGGAGATGACCGTGGCTTGTGACCATAGTTTTGGCAAGGAGCTGGTCCTGAAAGATTTTTCAAAGATTATGCTTAGAGGTTCGGCTATGGCAGTGGATAGCTTTTTTAAGAAGTAGGCACATATTCCATCTGGTCCAATAGATAGAGATGGTTTTAGATTGTGTAGTGCTTTTTCAACATTGTCTTCTGTAAAATCAATATGTATTAGATCATTGTAGTTGTCTGTGGTTCGACTAGGAAATACTGGGCATGCTCCATTGCTGTTTACAAATACTGAGCCAAAGAATGTGTTAAAGAGGTTGGGTTTAATGGTGTCATCATTGCAGTCTTTACTATTAGGTCCTTTCGGGGTGGGATGGACCTTGAGTCTTTTAGTTTATTGTTTACAAAATTGTAGAAAGTACAGGTGGAATTGGTGCATAGAAGGTTTTCCTCTTGTTTAATGTGATAATTGGTGCATTCAGTCTTTATCTGGTGGCATAAATTTTTGTATCGGCTTTTGAAGTTGTCAATGTGACCAGATTTGTTTTTCCGCCAAAGTGATCTCTTTTTGGATTGAAGCTTCCTTATTGTTATTGGTAATCTGTTTTTTCTGGTTTTTGGAGTTGTTATTAGTACATATAGTTTGATGACTCTTTTGACTTCAAGTAAAAATATGTTGTAATGGTCTTCAACAGGGTTGTATCCAGTGAATAGAAATTGCCAATCAAGGGATGAGAGATCATTGTCTATAAGATCATAGTTGCCTTTTTTGAAGTTATAATTGGGGATCACATCGTTGTGTTGATTTTTGTGTGGACGTATGTTGAGACAAAAGTCAGTCATGCTGTGGTCACTGTTGGAAAAGGGTTCTTTAATTTGTATTCTGTAAATTGAATTCAAACTATTACAGAAGATGAGATCGAGGCAGTTGTTAAGTCTAGTATTGTTGGTTACTAGTTGTTCCAGTCCCAGGTTTGTTACAGCATTGTAGAAGGTTGCATGTATGGGTTCAGTTTTACATTCGTTTAGGGTCCGGTTAATGTGTGGTAGATTGAAGTCACCAAGAAAGATAAAAGTGTGTGGGCAGGATGTTGCCCATGTTAGTAGTGAATTTAGCTTGTTTACATGTTCGATGTCATAATCAGGGGCTCTGTAACATAGTAAGAATCAAAATATGATATTTAAGGACAGTTCACAGACGATGGTCTCAGGAAGAGCAAGCTCTTGGGTAACTTGGATGTTTTTTAGATGTAAGGACTTTTTATAGAAGTTAGCAACACCACCTCCTCTACGGATTTCATGATCTGATTGGTAAACATGATAGTCTTTTACTGTGGTAATGGAGTCAGGGAGAGAGATGCATTGAGCCATGTTTCACATACAAATATGATGTTGAATTTATCCATATTTAGTAAGAGATATATTCAGATACCTAGATCATATTACCATATGTGGTGGACATGTGCAGAAACTAAAAGATACTGGACTAAAATAAACACGTGGTTGGAAAAAGTGATAAAACAACACATAGATTTAAAGCCTGAGATATTTTTATTGGGGATTTTGCCTGAAAGTTATAGTAAAGAAATAACACATTTGATTATTAATGTAATAACAGCAGCCAGAATTTTATTTGCTCAAAACTGGAAAACTGAGAAAATTCCAATGGAGGAGGAAGTGATTAAGAAAATAATGGAATGTGCAGAGATGAGTAGATTAGCATTAGCAATCAGAGAGCAAGAGGAAAAGAGAAAGAGAAAATTATAAGATTTGGGATTTATTTTATGAATGGTTAGAAAGAAGAGTAAGAAATTGAAGTATATTATAATAGTAAAGATATAATTGATTATTTTTGAATAAGCTATAACATGAATACGATTTGGTAAGAGTTGGGATTGCTCTTAAGGATAGCTTGGAATTGAAATAAAAAAAATAACGGTAATACAATAATGATACAATATGATATATAATGTTGATTAGAATATAACATGAATGTAAATTTAGGAAGAAAGGTATATAACTATTGTGTGCGTGACATACCGTATTTGCCGGCGTATAAGATGACTTTTTTGCCCTGAAAAACATGCCTCCAAGTGGGGGGGTCGTCTTATATGCCGGTATATCCACTGCCGGCTTTCAGATGCTTGTTGGATGCAGCGAAGGCGCCTCTGGCTTCCCGGATCCCCTGCGTCGCCTCCGCTTCATCCCGCTCGCCTCGCTCCGCCCGAGGCTGCAGCCTTCCTGCTCCTCCCACGGCCCCTGGCACTCCGCCCTGCCGCTGCAGCCCCGGGGATTTCTGGAGGGCGTTTCCGGTGGTGGTGGGGGGTCGTCTTATACGCCGGGTCGTCTTATACGCCGGCAAATACGGTATATATCCAACTGACACACTGTATAACTGAAAGAAGGCTTTATTTGTAGAGAAAAAAAAGAAATTGTTCTTGGCCCACCAGCAGCAGGGAAGAATTGAGTCCAGGGGCAGGATGATAACACCAGCTCCAGGGAGGCGGGAATAATTTTATGGGCATGTTATTTATTTGTTTGTTAGATTTTTATCATGCCTGCCTGCTTTATTATGCTTCCCTTTTTGAGGCAGTAAGTTGTCTCCCCACCATCCCTGTTCCTCCTCCTCCTCTCTCTTTTGCCTCTTCTTTCTCCACAGCTGAGGCCCCTCCTGTTCCCAAGAACCATTTTGGAAAAGCTTGGTCTTTCTCTTTGCTTTCCTTTTTTTTTCTTTGCTCACCCTTTGCTATATCTTTTCATCCCTTCCTTTCCTTTTCCCTCCCTTTCTTTACTCCTTTCTTTCTTTCTTCCTTCCTTCCTTCCTTCCTTCCTTCCTTCCTTCCTTCCTTCCTTCCTGCCTTCCTTCCTTCTTTCTTTCTTTCTTTCTTTCTTTCTTTCTTTCTTTCTTTCTTTCTTTCTTTCTCCTCTTTTCCCTTCCTTTATTTAATTCCCACTTCACTTCGCTTCACACACCATCCTTCTTCTTATTCTCCTCCCTATTCTCCTTTTTCTTCTCCTCAGCTGAGGTCCCTCTTGTCAAATTCCTCTTAGTTCCAAAGAAACTCTTTGGGAAACCTCCCCTCTTGCCTACCTTCTTCCTATCCCTTCCCTTCCCTTCCTTTCCCTCCCTCCCTCCCTCTCTTTCCTTTCCCTTTCTCTTTCTTTCTTTTCTTCTCCCTCTCTTTCCTGTCTTCCTTTTCCTTTCTTTCTTCCCCCTTTCCTTCTCTGCCTCTTTACAACTTCTCTCATCTTCTCAGACACTTCCCTCCAGAAGGGTAAACAATCTGGTTGGCCTCCTCAAGAGGACCAGCTGGGCGTGATGAGTCCTTGGCCAAGCCCAATCTCAAGGTTATTCTTAGATTCTTCGTGGAAAATGGCTAAATTCTTCTTCTTCTCTTTTTGAGGCAGAACAATTCCACTAGAAGGACCGACCAAGTGCACAGCCATGTTGCTTCTGTGGACCTTCCTCTCCCTGGCGGCCTCTTTCCTCCTGCCTGCAACAGGGGAGGTGATGAGCAGTTTCGACTCCTGCAGTCAGTTCTTCTTGGGTGGGAAACCCCCCCAAGTTGGTGCCAATGAATCCGGCCAGAATCTGCCAGTTCTATAGAAACCGTTATGAATTTGCCACAATGTACGATAAAGATTTGCGCATCCCCCTGTTCTCAGCATATAAATATCGATTTGAAGACAGTGAAGCACAGAAGGACTGGATGATTGAACCACAGGTAAAAGTGCTTCCCATTTTTTTAGCTAAACTTTCATGAAATGGACGCCATGTTAAAGCAACAGTCAGTAAGGCAAGACAGTGAATTTAGGAATTATGTGTACATTATGTGTACAAAAATTCCCAGGATATTTTTTAGGAGCTTTGCCCTAAGAATGTTGTCTACATTGGTAAGGTTCTACTTCCACCTTTCCCCAAAGAACCAAACTCAGAGAGCCCAGATCCCCAAATTTCAAGCTCCAGCAATGTGTATTCATTACTAGAGGAAAGTTTAAAGTGGGCTCCCCAAGAGGGTCAGGCAGGGGCCTCAATTTCCAGAATTCCAGAAACGGCCCAACTATGCAAACCCCCATGGCAGCAATCCCACACCCCATTCCCTGGCTGACTTGTGGTAGATCTTTCCCCAGATTCAGGGTATTTGCTTCTTGTGTGAATGCCAATCAGGCATGTTGTTTGTTCTTTCTTATTCCTAGCTTGCAATGCCTTGGGACCAGCAACGCAAAAACATGGAATCGGAACAGGATAGTGGAATCGACCCCAAGGAACTTGCAAAGGGTCAGGCTGTTTTGAAGGATTACGCAGGCACTTTGTCCTACATCAAGGGGCAGCTGGCACCATTTTCCCATCAACTGGATCAGGATAGCAAAGATGCAACCTTCACCTTAACCAACGTTGTGCCCCAGTTTAAAGATCTTGCTAATGGATACTGGAAGCAATATATAAGCAATATGAGAAAAGACGCAGATGGATGCAGTGAAACATATGTCATTACGGGTGTGGTACCCGGTGAAGATTCGATCTCTGAAGGCAGAGTGAATAAGCCCAGTTATATCTGGACTGCAGTTTGTTGTGTGTATCCAAACCTCCACAAAACTTCCTGGTGATTCATTGCTGATAATACGTGGAATCACTTAGAAAGGCTTAACTTGAGGCAGCTGGAACAAAATCTTCAAGTCAAATACGGGAAGCCCATTAATCTTTTCAATGGTGCTTGCTATGTCCATGAATAATAATTAATAAGGTCACTCTCTGTCAGCCAAATAGAGTTCACAAAGTATATACGTAGCAGTTTAGTTTATGGAATGAATGCAGTTATTATAATCCTAGTATGATCTATGTCATCATTGGTTTTTTTTGGCTGTACTGTGGGGTGAAGCCATAATGTGTAGTAACCATGCTTTGAACAATGTAGTTAATACAACAACTGGAGAATTGCCATTCACTCGTTGGCATGGCAGAAAGCCAAATTTAAGTTACCTACACATATTTGGAGCTCCAGCATGGTGCATATTCCCAAACAAGTAAGACTGAAAGGGCAACATAGAGCTAAGAAGTTATTTTTTGTGGGTTATGAGGCCAACCATAGTTCATTTAGATTTTGGGATCAAGGCATATCTCATGTTTATTGTAGTGCTAGTACAAAATTTCTAGAGCACGTTGGGTGGGATAAACTGGAATCCAGCAATGATATTATTATTGACACCCAAATAGTCCTTAAAGATGATATCAGTAAACCACAAATAGCCATTAAAGAGGAAGAACAGGCACAGGAGGAAGTAGTAGAACAGGCACAGGAGGTAATAGAAGAACAGGAGCAGGTGGCACAGTAAAGTCCACCAGTTAGCCCTATGTTACCAAGACGTTCAACCCGTGTAACACGATCACCTGATAGATACCAGGCTAGTGTTGTATGCCAAGTGAATACAGTTCCAAGTAATTATAATGAACTAAAATTGTATCCTGCTAAGGATCAGGCTGGTTGGCAGAAAGCAATGGATAAGGAACTGGAATCATTAAAAAGACTGGAGGTATATGAAAATGTTAAGTTACCACCAGGTAAACATGCCATAGGATGTAAATGGATATATAAGCTAAAGACAGGTGTAGATGGGACTGTTACCCATAAAGCCAGGTTAGTAGCACAAGGATTTAATCAGACAGCAAATGACTATGATGAGGTGTTTGCACCTAGTCTGAAGACTACAACATTAAGGGCAGCATTAGTGTGGGCAGCTAAAGAGAAATACATTGTAAATCATTTGGATGTAGAGACAGCATATCTGCATGCACCATTGCAACACACTATATATTTAAAGAAACCTTTAGGTCTCAAAAATGATAATACAACTGATTGCTGGAAATTGAAAAAGAGTCTTTATGGCTTGAAGCAATCAGGATATGAGTGGAACCAATGTATAGTTAAAGAATTAACTAAGATAGGCTTTGTAGCTGGCATGGCTGATCCATGTTTGTTTAAAAGGAAAGTAATGGTATAGTGTCATTGTTGCTATTGTTTACTGATGATATAGCATTAATCACCAAAACTGAACAAGAAGCTACTGAGATAATTTCACTATTGGAAAAGAAATTTAAGATAAAACAGTTAGGAGAAATCAGACAATATCTTGGTTTAAATATAGATAGAACTAGGGGAGGATACAAGATCTCACAGGCAGATAAAATTAACCAATTACTAAAAAGTTTTAAAATGGAACTGTTTAAGCCGGCTAAGACACCAATGAGCCAGGAGTTTAGCCATAGTGATGTTCAAAGTCCTATTTTTGATAAGAACATTTATCAGTCTTTGATTGGTAGTTTATCTTATCTCAGTAATTGGTCAAGGCCAGATATTGCATAAACTGTTAATCAATTAGCGAGATTTAACTCTGAGCCAACTGAAAGGCACTGGCAAGCTGCTAAACATGTGTTAAGATATCTGAAACAAACAATGCACTATGCATTGTATTTGGAGCCTAAAGATGAACTGAATTTGACTGCATATGCTGATGCAAGTTTTGCTACAGACATAAATACACAAAAATCTACATTGGGTACTGCTGTATTATTGGGAAACGCATTGATTGGATGGAGGTCTATTAGACAGAAACATCTAAGTTTGTCAACAATGGAGGCTGAATTCTCATGTTTGTCTGTATTATGTACAAATTTAGTTTTGTATAAACAATTATTGATTGATATGGGAATTGATGTAACAGATTCTATTGTTGTTTATGAAGATAATCGATCAGCAATACAGATGGCTTCAAATATTGCTGTTAAAACAAGAATGAAACACACAGATTTAAGATATTTAAATGTGAGACAATGTGTGCAAAGTAAAATGATTAAGCTAGAATACTGTATGTCAGAAAACAATATAGCAGATCATTTTACAAAGGCCCAAGGCTCTATAAAGCATAAGGCTAGCTGTGAAGATTATGGACTTAGAATGTAAGGTTGCATATATTGTCTTACCCAAAAGGGGAGAATGTTAGGAATATAAGTCACCTAACAGGTATTTGGGTTAGAAATATATAAACCAGGATAAACATTTTAAAATTGTATCTTTAAGAAAATTGCAAAACTGTAATTAGGTGTGGTTTCTCAAACGGCCATAAGATGGAGCCAGAAACCTGGTTTGTCTTAGCCTTAGTCTCAGAAGAGAGTGTGAGTAAGTCTCTGTTTCCTTCAGTTGGAGAGTATTGCCATTTCTTCTAATTGAGTGATATTACTGGATTTAATGTAAGTCTGTTACTGAACTGTTTTTGACACTGGACTTTGAATTATCCCTGGATTGAAAACTGACTGATTTACCTGTGAATGACTTTGGACTGCCTATTTTGTACTTTGCTTAACGTTTCTGGAAGTAAAAACCTACATTTACTGTACCGTGTATCTGTGTTCTGTGTGTGTATTGTTCAAACACTTCTCTCAAATATGTCTCCCTGTATGTGCTCATTCTCCTAACGGGGAATTACCTCAACACTAAGCCACGCCCAGGCTCCTTGCTGTCTCCTTCTTGCTCACACAGCAAATATTGCTTCAGTTTCCAAACAGCCCTCAACTCTCTCACACACTGACAGGATGCTAGCCAAATGAATACCGATGGATGCTGGTAGGCAGAGGCAGAATCCCTCCCCCTTATTTTCCTCCCCAATAACTAAGCCCAACCACATAGTTTTGTAGCAAAGCACAGGGTATCCTATACTTTACAGCTACAATCAATGATACCTGTTCAAAGGTCGTTTTTCCATTGTTGATTAACATGGAAATTCATAAATATTTTCAACATTTATTTTATATTAAATATTCTACCTTCTATTCTGGAAGACTAATAAGATCCCTTCCAACTCTCTGGTTCTGTTAAGCTTTGGACTGGGAGGAGACAACTGTATCTGAATTTCCAGCACAATTCCTGACCACACCTTATGTTACATTTTCCATGACAAAGTAATCCATTACTTTGATTTCTATTCCTCAATGGGAGATTGTCTTTGCTTGATGTTTGCTTTTTGCAAACTTGGTCTGATATCTACCACACCTTGTTGATTTTTACTAGCTCTGTCTCTGGAATTTAAAGGGAGAAGCCAAATGTAGACAATTGTCCTATTGTCCCCATTTATTTGTACCTATTTCCTGTATTCTTACTCATGCTTATACTTATACCTATTATCTTGTAAGCGATTGACAAATAAAATAAATAAAATGAAAATGAAAATAATCTGTGGGTTGGTTTACAACTTTGAATTGTTGGCTTCCAAAGCTTTAACACAGTTTGCCGCCTCCTTCTTTTACTAAGCCAGGCAGTTCCACAGTTACGTCAGCCTAGATCAACGGTCTTTCAAGCTATGACATATGTTTATTGCTTCAGAAAGGTAACAGGAAATAGCCAGAAATTAAATCTTAGAGTACAAACCTTCTCTGCCCATATGGCTTCATGTTTGTCTACAAGCAAGAGACCAGTCAGGCCCGGCTGAATTTGTGAGCCTTCTGCTGGGTAAGCCAATGTGTGATATTTTGCTATTGCCTGTCACCACTGCAGCACCCATCTTTTACAAATATTCAACCTATGATCTTTCAGTCCTCGATATGGTCGCCCGTTGTTTGCATGGGTAACAAGTTTTGCTTACTACAGCTCAACCTTCTGAGAGAAGTGTGAGGATTAGAATACACGATTACAGAGTCAGAAGGGACCTTGGAGGC